GTGTTTTCTATGACAGGACACCGCGAGGTTCTCCTGCGAGGCGTATGAACATCCATCGCCGCATTTCATTCCTTTACGCCATCTTTGTGTTTATTATACGTATTGTGGATGTACAAGTTGATGGCGTTCGCGGCCGGCCGATTCGGCACGGAATAAATTATGTAAATACGGCGGCGCGACGAAGGGACGCGTAACTTCTGGCTCTCCGTCCGACACTGGACACTTAACAGCCCGCTTTTCGACGTACTTATGCTACCGCGAACCTTATCAGTCGATCGTGTACGCGCACACCCCCGTTTATCTCGCGGCAACTACACGATTCTATATCTTTGGCCCTTTCATTGCTTGGTTAATTTGTTCAGAATCGTTCCTCTCTTGTCGCGAGGGAATACCCCTTGTTACAGTTGGATTTAAGTTTATCGATTGTTTTGTTCTGGATTTTTCGCTTCATTAATGACCTTTTGATTGACTGATTTATTGTAGATTTCTGAATGTGTCATTTTTGAGTTTTATGTGATCTTTAAAAGAAAATTCTATAAGATCTATAGTATTGCGGTTTTGGAAATAAACATTCTGCTATCAGAATGATATATAAACTAATAAGTAAAATAGTAAGTAAAAATGATATTTTACATTTAATAAAATGTGGTAATAAATAATAGTAGCAATTAACATTGACGTGTTATTCGGTAATACACAAACTATATCGTTTTATTCATTCTTATCTCATTATTTTTTTGTCGTTAAATCCAGTAAAATGCACCGATAATAAAATTTCTCTTTCTAACTTCAACTGTTTACTACCAAACGACCAAAGCATTGTCGGAGACGACGAGCCAGCGGGATTTGGATAAATCGGGACGCCGAGTGACAATAATTTAATCCCACCCGTCCCTGTTTCGACGAGATCCTTCGGAAACCGGTTGGACCTTGTACATCTTCTCCCGAGAATCCGTCTGACGAAGAGATCGAGAATGGAACTGGGATGCGGTAACACGAGAGGGGATTAAATTTCGAGGACTGTCAGACACGAATTAATCTATCGCGGACGAAATTTTCAGAAAGCAATTTCTGATTTCGTATTCGACTCTGTTGATTATGTTACTTCTTGTTGGAGTCGCGTTTCCACACGTAACTACCTTCTGTCGTGCATGCTTTGACAAGATGGTAACGTAATGATTAAACGATCTTGCAGTAAAGAGAAATTGATGGCCAATTTCGACGGAAGTTAATTTTCAAAGATATATTGTGTAGTTTTGAAATCTTTACGCCGAGGAATAAATATACTGCAAAGGAATATTATAATTTAGGATGTTGATAAGGTCCACGTGAAAGAGATGTCAGGAAGAAATTGACAATTTCAGAATAATGACGTAATTTACAGTAAACTCGTAGCTTATATGCAATATCAGCATATCATATACGGAGTTAAATTATTCGATCATCAGTGGAACGCATAAAGTGTAACGGTGAACGCAAACGTGCTACTGTTGCGATGATATTGTTCCCAAATTAATATATCATGACGTCGTTATGCTATAACGTTAACCTCTATATTATCACAGCATCACCCTACCGTATTATCTTATTATTACCCTACCACAATATAATATTACGATTTACTCATTTCCTTTTCTACTTTCGTGATTCACCAATCGCTGAAACTCTATTTCTTCTACTTTCAGTAGCATTCTTAAACATAAGAAAAACAAGTTTCTCTAAGGAGTGTAAAAAAAGAAAAAAATGTCATAACTACCAATCAAATTATGAAATCCTCAAATTAATATATCATCGCAACATTACACTATCGTATTCTATCACAATAACAAACTATTTACCGTATTATTCCCCTATTACAATATAACATTACAATTTACCCATCTCCCTTATAATCATTCACAAAATCACCGAAACTTTGTTTTCTTTACTTTCTCTGGCACAATTAAAGCAAAATGTTCCGACGGGTGCAAGAAGTGAAAAGAGGAAGTGGTAACCCATGTGGTGAGCAAGTGTCATGGCCGGAAAAAAGAAAAGATTTGGCAATCGGTAGCGGAAATATTCATTGTCCTAAGAAAGGATCTAAGAGGGTGGCTCAGCCACGGGATCCTGCCGGCCGGATATTAGGCGTGTTTCCTTAATTGGGCGATATCTTTCGTCGCCCTAGCCGGACTCCTCGATTTATCGTGGGCGCGAGGATTCGTTAAACGGCGTGCACATCGAGGCGTAACAACGACGAGCGGCGAAGACGTGCGCGGCGGCGCTGAAGACGGGGCTGGATCGCGGCAAAGGTCGCGCGAATTGTAAATCGACGCCATAAATCGAGAACCCCGGCGGAGGAAGACGGTGGAACGGGACGGAGGGAATAAAGAGACGGCAAAATAGCGTTCGAACCGGCGTAATCGATGGCCGGCGTTTTCGAGCCACGGCTTTCCGTTCATCTTAACGCTCTATTTGTTGCGGAGAACGCTGCGAGCGCCGCCTGCTCCGCCTGCTCCGCCCGCGAGATCCGTAGGGAGCAATTGATGTAGAGAAAAGGATTTGTTCTCTATCCAACACACGATATAATCAATATATCGCATTGAATTCGCGTGAATGATAGCGCAACGAAGGTTGCGCTAAGAAAAACAGTGATGTTGAGAATCGTATTGAAGCTGAGTGGAAATATTGAAACTGAATACTTTTGGAGTTGATGATTCTCTGGGGATTCTTTGTACCGTTGAAGGGGATTTTCTGAACAAATGAAATTGATTATCAAAAGTATTATTGGTTTATTGAGCATGTATAGTAAGGTATTAATACTTTGTCAATAAGAAGGTAGAATGTTGTAGTAACAACTAGGTGTACCTTTAGTTCTAGAACTTCTTGTTGTAAATAACTTACAAGACTATAATAAAGTAGTGTCACATTTTTAGAGGACTACCAGTTCCTTAACCGACAAAAACCTTCAAATACTGCTATGAACGAAGTTTGCATTTGAAAAGCAACATTCCATCCTCCATGTTCAACGGACCTTCAAACCTCCCTTCGCAAAGAAACTCAAAAATGTACGCAACGGACACGAACAGCGAATAATTTCCTCAATACCTCACAGCCACCTCACAGAACGAAATAAAACCACCGCTAGCGTCGACTCGCCTCAAGAATGTATCCGGACACGGTTCATTCCGGAGAAAGTAAATTCCCGTCAGCGGTGTCGGCGTATGACACAAGACGCGAGTTCTTCGCGAGCGTGCAGCAAAAAAGCGGATAGAACCGTGATGCCAAGACAACAGCAACGAAGTGGCGGAAAAATCGCGGGCCAGGAGTTGGTCAAACGAAATAATTCCTGCGTGCGCTGCTGCGAACGGCAATTAGCGGCGGATCTCGAGTTTCCGATCTCCCGGGGACCAAGGGATATCCCCGGAGGCTAGAGATTTTCGTGGAAAACCCATTCGCGCGTACGAGGCTGAGGAGGATCAAGATTCAGCGCGCGCGATAGCGTATACTGCTAACTTCTCCAGGCCTACGGTGTCGCCGGTAAATTCTTCCGAGATGACAGGGCCACGGCTCGTATTATCTGATGTCGGACCCGCGGAAAGACGCCGGCCGGCGACTCGTTTGCCCTTTAACGCGGCCGGTGCGCGCCTCTCTCGGCCACGCGTAAGTCAGCCTTAATTGTTTGAAGCCACGTAAGCCTTTACCCGGCCCTTCCTGCCTAGCGGCCGTTTAAGGGCCTCGAGTAAAGACTCGGGCCCCAGGGGAGATCCTGCCGATCGATAATCGATAAAATCGACGGAGAGTGACCTGTACGGCCGATATCGCCGTGAATCGAGCGAACGCCTCCTCCTCGCGCCAAATGGGACGCGCTGGCAGATATCGTGGGTTTAGATCGTATGTGGGAAGTTGATTGGTTTTGGGAATTTGATGGCTTGCTTGGATTTTAACCTGTTGTCCTGTAGTAGACTTGCGATGTAAATTTTATATAAAATTTGATTAATCTGAATGCTGTTTTGTCTTCTATGAATGTGGATATTTGTTTTTGGAGCAGGTATAGATGTGGAACAAGTAATTAATTTATTTAGTTTTCTAAGAAATTGTTGAAGACAAAGTGGTTTTATTAAGCGCAGTTGCAAAAGAGATCATAGGATAAGGGGTTGATCCTTTGCCTTACGATTTATTTCGCAACTGTGATCGCTATAACTACTCTCGATATAAAAGATCGATATAACTGAAGAAAGAGAAGAATCCTGGGAATATCCTATATCCATGTCCGTTTTAAATTATAACAATTGATAATAGGATATTTAATTTGAATTAAAAAGGATTGAGAAATATTTATGTTTGGTAAATTCTATTTTAAATCTTCACCACGAGTCTGACACGTTAAGATAAGGCAGGGGGTTAATATCGATGAGATTTAGAAACCGTTCGTTTTTATCGATTTAAAGGCAAAGGTGAAGTTTCAGTTTATACTGAACATTGTAGAGAAATTTTAAGTCGGTTACTTAACAAATTCGATTAAAAAATCATAACTCTAATATTTGAAGTGGAGAAGATATTCGTATACCAACAGACTTCTCGATAAACACAATAGACAAAAATTAAACGACAGACTTTTGTGTTGTCTACTGTACACGATAAATAAATTTCCACTGTGTACAATGTATCAGCTTGTATATCATTTTGATTACGCGTTCCTCGAACTTTTTTTAAAGCTCACGGAAAGCCACAAAAACACACATACAAACACTTAAAACATAGCAAGATGAATGAAGTCTCAGAAACCGATTAAACAGTTTAACCGATTAGCATTATGAAAGTAACAAAGATGCATTCAGATGCGGTTCGCCAAGCGATCACGCGACGCGCCCAGAGTTATCGGTTGCCCTGCGGTACCTGCGGCGAGCAATATTTCTCGAGGACGCGCTCGCGATCGGACCGTTTTTCGATCCTCCGAAACCCAGCCACCGAGACGAAAGGCAACATGTGTTTCGGAAACGAAATAAAAATGCTTCACTTACCAGGCATGCAGACACATCGGAACGTTCCAGGATCGTCCAGACAGGAGCCGTCGTTCTGGCAGGGATGGGACTCGCACTCGTTCACGTTCGTCTCGCATCTCGGTCCTATGAATCCTTGCGTGCAGTTGCAGGCGAACGAACCGGGTGTGTTCACGCAGATGCCGTCGTGTTCGCAAGGGGACCCTAGATGGAATACACAAAGAATATTATAAAATTGTAAGTACTTTGTAAACATACCTGCAAGGAAAAAATGAATTATTTAACAAGAAATTGGGTGCAAAAATGGCACTATTTAGAAAAGGTCTGCATTTACCCAAATGGAAAGTTGCTATTATACGGTAGAGTTGAGCATCGTCGAGATTCTTCACAAGAAAAATATAATTATTACATTGAATCTTTATTCGTGTGTCTTGTAAGAGTGGAGAGCATATACAAAAATAAACTATTAATTGTACTATCAAGTTTTCCAATAACAATTATAAACAATATTATTTAAAAAACAAACCTACCGGTTTTTCTTTAATACTTCAACAAAAATACAAATAAAAACGCTGCAATTAGAATTAGATTAAAATTTCTAACATTCAAATTTTTAAACCCATTATACCTATCCTTGCGTGCATTGCTCAGCACTGGAACAATCAACGGTGAAACAGGGTAGAAAACAAGGTCTTGGTAGTCGCAGGAATTGTTCGCGCGTAGCTGCGCTCGGTCGCGAAAAGGGCCGATAATTAAAGCTGCCGCGAACACCGGCGAACGCGTGGCGCATAATAATTAATAGCCGTGCAAGAATCAAAGTCCAGCACGCAGGTGCATCCCCCATGGGATGCAGGACAAATACATGGTAGGCTAGTGTGCCTTAATTGGTCAAGTCGGCGCACTTTTTCGAGGAAGCTGCCATTAGGGAAAGAAGGGGGAGTAAAGAAGCTCGAGCGGCCCACAGACCAGTGACCATAAGAAGGAAGCGTCGCCTCTGCGCAGATTCCAGGGGTAGCATTCTCTCTTGCCTCTCTTGGACCAAGAATCCGATCCGGCCCTTTTCCTCCTGGTTACACGACTCGCGTTAATTGCAATAAGATAATTACCGGTGACAGCTGTCCGGCGAACCGTCCCCTTGCGAAACGAACGCTTCATCGAGGCCCGAACTTCCCTAAACTGTCAGCTTTAACACTTAAGACTTAAATGTGTAAGCCTTCGACCCCCTATTTGAACAGCAGAGACGTAATTACGTGAACTTCTTGTTTTTCGGGGATTTAATTTAGTATTCTTACCTTGTAATTTGTGTATAATGTTGTCGTGGAGTTACGAGATTGCATTTTGTATTTACCGGAGAAGAATTGTTAGTGATTTTAGTGGAAATGAGTTAGGGGTGAATTTTGGGGAAGAGAAACGTAAGAAATAGGGGTTATAAAAATTTAATATTGTTTTAATGAGAAAAATATGGGGAATTATATGATTTTGTAGGTAGAAACTTGGTAAACATTGTTTTTGTTGGGGATGATTAGAATTCTTGGGAAGTATGACGTTTGTCAAGATAAACGAGGATTATATAGCAGAATGAATATTAGCTGAATTTCTTACAACGAATTGCAACAAATATTTTGTAAACTCTGTATCATTTTCTTCTATATGTTCATAAAACACATCTTTCAAGAATTTGTACTTATGTTGTGTGTCATTAGATTAAATGTAGAAATATTTGTAGCGACAAGAAAAATCAAAGTGCATTGAGAAAGTTGGTCGCCCAGCTTCTACACTGTAAAAACCTGGAATTCGTTTTGTTAAAACGCTACGTGCGCAATCGGTACAATTAACCGTAGTACAGAATATTTCTCCATTAGCGACAACGCGTCTAAGGCAATCATCTGAAGCACATCTACTAGAACGCTTGAAGCTGGCAACAAATGAGCCACTCGAGGAGACTGCAAATCCCATCCACTTCCGATACTCTCTACAAGATCACTGAACTCAAGTGTTCAAGTGTTCAGCAGATGCTACACAGACAGATTTTTCTAATAGGGCAAGCGACGAAGACTTTAGTTCGAATAAGAATAGAATCTCGTGACCATTGAATCATGCTTTCCATTCATTATAAAAATATCCGTGGTCAATTATGCGATTATTAATGCAAAGTCTGCCCTCTTTCAGAGGAATAATGATTCTCAATCTCAGCAACTTGATGGCATAATGTAAAACAGCTGTCGTATAAGGTGCACCGCTTCGTCAAAACAAAAGGTTGTTCATAACTTCGTAAATATTAATTTTTCAACATATGTTTATTAACATCCTTTTCGTCTATTTAGTGTCATCTTCAATCCTTCGCGTTCTCAAATGTTTTGGGTTTTCCAGTCCTTGAAAACTGACATCAATGAAATGGCACTTGTGTAATTTATACAAGAACATTTTATAACCACTAAAATTGTACTGACACAAGGTATAATTACTATATTTCAAATAAACGCGAAGAAAATTGATAAAACGCGTAACAACTGCACTAAAATCGAGTCTGTTACAATAAATTTGAAACTCTAAACCAACGTCCACGTAGGAGCCATTTTTTAAAAGTTGTTTAAGTGTTTGTGTTTGAATCAACTTAAAAATATTAGCAAACGTTAATCAATTCAGTTGACGTTTATAAAACCATAAACTTGTTAAATTTTATTATGCAGTAATAAATAATGAAACTGTAAAAGAAAAGAAACGAATCCTTAGCTACAAATGGACTTATTTCATTTTCAAAGGAAACATTTTTGCGATACCATTTTACAGTTAAACTTCTTCCGATTCATTTGTGAGGTTATCGCACATCATTGATTGTGTGATTATTAAGAAAGGACATCTGTACGTCACTAAAACTACCATTAACTCATTTTTCTAAAAATGGCCTCATACCGCTTCATAAAAAACGGCTCATATTCCTCAATCAAAGACAGCTAATGCTACATAAGAATAAAGAGTCAGTCCCAGTTTCAAAGGAATGAATAATTCTGAAGCATAGCAACGCGAAATAAAGAATTATCCCGTACGACAAAGGATTCAGGAAGAGCCAAGCGCGAAAGGGCCGAGCCGCGGGCTCGTTCCCGGAGCGACGCGTACAATTATCCACGATATTTATGAACTTTTCTAAAGAGAACGGCAGCAGTGGGGCCGTTTATAAAGTGGCGTCGTGTCGCGTCAGCCCGTGGCACGCTCGCATACCGGCCTCGTGTAATTCGCCGACTGTTTTTCCGACCCCGGCGGGTAATTGCTGTCGCCGCGCGCGACGTTTGACCGGCTAGCGGAAGAACCCGCTGAAAGAAACAGCCGCGGGTTGAAAAGAACGGAGGGGTTGCTACGTGTGTTACGGGGGCGAGCAAGAAACGCATTGCTCCGTCGTGTTCGCAATCGAGCTGCGACGACCGGTGGATGACGAATCGGTCCGCTCTCAGTCGCGTCGACCGTTCTTCAAGAACAGACGTGTCTCAAAAAGATGCGAAATGACGCCGATCGATTTTACTTCAGGTGATCGCAGGTGAAATTATTATGATTAGGTGTGTGGACTTTTTTAAATCGATTCTTTAAATTATTGCATGAAAATTAGTAAAATGTAAGTTTTAAATAAGTTAAATGGACAGTTGGTGTTTTTTAATAACCACAGAACAAAGGTAACTAATTAATTTTTGTCCACGCTATGTATTAGAGGTTTGAAACTAGTTGTTTTGTTAGATAAAATATAAGTAGCGACATGACTGCACAATATCTTCTTCGAAGTAATATAAAAATACTCGTAGCTACTAATGGCACATTGCCAACTAAGAAGCCTCCATAGGATTCAATGAAAACAATCGAAACAATAGTTCTATTGCGCCAACCAGTTTCTCCAAACTCTTAGTAGCAATTCCTAATTTCCTATTGGAGACCACCAACGAGCGCACAGAAATTTCAGAGAACACGATTACCCGGCGGCCAGCTCGCGCCCCGCCGGTGGCGTAATATTCGAGGCGTATCCACGCATGTAATATCGCGGATAATCGATCAATCGTATTTCCTCGGAGGCGCAGTTTGCGAGTTTCGTACGGCCGGTAGCCGGGGCCCCACCGCTCGATCCTCGGTTCTTGTTTCCCGCGTTTCTTGCTGGGCCGGGTGGTGGCTCTTAGGGAGCTTAATCTACCAGAAAATATGCAATCTTGATAATAACAGAGCTCCGGCTTGAGCCGCGAGGTCATTATGGTTATTATTAAACTTAAAATAACAATTTAGCGTTTAATTAGATTCGTTTACGCGTCCTCGAAACACGGGGTGCTTGACATAGGATGAAGACCGATCCCCGAGACTTCGTTTCCGGTAAAATGTTATTAGGAGCAGCATCCTGTTTTCGGCACTTGACACCCGAAAATGCTTGCGTTCTTTTATATCGACATTCAGACGGTTTTAGTGGAACGAGTTTCTTTAAGTGGACTTTTTTGAAGACAGAAGCGGTGGCGCCCTTGTGACGTGCTTTTTTAATGAAGTAATGGTTGAACTGGTGGTAATTTTTATTTTAGAGAATTATTTTTAATATACTAATACTAAACTATATAGTCTTTCGTTTTAACTTTTCATTAATTACGCTTTTTTCTAATAGATACCTGCAAGTAAATTAACAAACATTTATTAAGATCTACTCCTTGTATGAAAACATTGAACTGAACCATTTTGCAGTTGTTTCTTACTTATTCTGTTTTAGCATTTTGAAGTTAAATACATGAATATAACAAAAAATGTATAATCAAATAACCATGATACCAAAGACATTTCAATTGAATATCAAACACTACATTCAATAGTACCAAGGAATATATATCACAATAGTTACTACAGTTATTAACCTTTTACACTCGTATGACATGCTGGAGATGATAATACAAAATTGTTATAAAACGTTGTAAATTATTTGAAAAAGTACCGCACTTTAAAAGATTATAAAAATTAAACCTTATAATAATAGTAAATAAATAAAGCGAACATAAAACGTTGAATTCTACCGCTATAAATTATTTTAATGCATTTTCCTAAAAGTAGCTACAAATTTAAACCCAACAGCATTGAAAATAAACCGAGTGCAAAAGGTTAAATTGCACTCACATAAGGCACTAAATATTGTACTTATTCACGAATTCTGTCATCAACTTTGTCATCAAGGATAAACGTTGCCGAACGTCGCA